CCCCAACCCCCTGCCCCTTTTTTTTTTTTTTTTTTTTTTGGTACTGGGGATTAAACTCAGTAGCATTCAGCCACTGAGCCATATCCCCAGCCCTATTTTATATTTTATTTAGGGACAGGGTCTCATTGAGTTGCTTAGTGCCTTGCCTTTGCTGAGGCTGGCTTTGAACTCTCAGCCACCTGGGCCACTGGGATAGGCATGCACCACTGCACCCAGCTCTAGCCCTTTTTTATATTTTATTTAGAGACAGAGTCTACACTAAGTTGCTTAGGGCCTTCCTAAATTACTGAGGCTGGCTTTGAACTCATGATCCTCCCGCCTCAGCTTCCCAAGCTGCTGGGATTACTGTGCTCGGCCCCTAATTACTATTTTAAAAAACAGTAAGAAAAGCTGGGTTCATGCTGGTAATCCTAGCAACTCAGGAGGCTGAGGCAGAAGGATGCAAGTTTGAGGCCAGCCTCAAGTTGCAAGGCTCTTGAGAGACCTGGATTCAGTCCCAGTAAAAAAAAAAAAAAAAAAAAAAAAAAAGTAGGAAATATGCCAGCTGATTCGGAATGAAAGTTCTTAATATTCTCTAAGTGTCAACAAGTTTGTGATCATAGGACTTTCTAGAAAAAAATGGGTAATATCAGTATAATCAGGAAAGAGGATCAGGGGAGGCTTCTAGGAAGAGGTGACGTTTGAGATATGGCTATGAGAAGTACTGGGCAATTTGTGTTTTCTTCTACCCACCCCCCCGTCCAGGCCATACACTGGCCCTGAAGCAGAAGTACAAAATACATTGTGAAAAATATATTTAGGTGAATTATATATTTATGATTTTTGACTGCACAAATAAAAACCTTCAGAGAGGTACATATGAAAATGTCAATGGTTGAATGACCAACTTATCATTAAAAAAAAGATATATACTACCATAGATATGAAAATTTGTGCTGTATATGTGTAATAAGAATTGTAATGCATTCTGCTGTCATTTTTTAAAAAAATCAATAAAAAAAAGAAAGAAAGAAAGATAGAGGAGAAACTTTCGCATTGAAAGGGTTTAGGAGACATAAATGACATTCAACCAAATACAAATGTGATCTTAAAAATAGGCTGGGCATGGAGGAGCATGCCTATAATCCCAGCGGTTCAGGAGGCTGAGGCAGGAGGATCACGAGTTCAAAGCCAGCCTCAGCAAGTTAGCGAGGCCCTAAGCAACTCAGTGAGTCCCTGTCTCTAGATAAAATATTAAAAAGGGCTAGGGATGTGGCTCAGAGGTTAAGTGCCCCTGGGTTCAATCCTGGGCAACACACACACACACACACACACATACACATACACACAGACACAAATCATCTACTAAAGATAGTGAAGACACAGATTAAATTATATTAAGATCTGCTTCAAGGTTATCCAAAGTAGGTACTTGATGCAAGATAGGGCATTAATTAGAACTCAAGAGCAGTTTCATAGAGGTTCATCACACCATCTTTCCACTTTTGTACGTATTTAAAATTTTCCTTGTTATAAAAAGGTAGGGCCAGGCATGGTGGCACATGCCTGTAATTCCAGTGGCTTGGAGAATCAAACATTTGAAGCCAGCCTCCACCACTTAATGAGGCTGTAAGCAATCTAGTAAGACTCTGAGTCAAAATAAATAAATAAATAAAAAGGGCTAGGGATGGCTCAGTGGTCAAGCATCTTTTGATTCAATCCCTGATACAAAAAAAAAAAAAGGATTGCAGTTGTAGTTCAGTGGTAAAGAATTTTCCTAGCATGTATGTGAGGCTCTGAGTTCTATCCCTATTACTGTACCAAAAAATAAAGTTAGTAGTGGTTCTCTCTAGGTTATAAAATTATGGGTGGTTTCTCTTTAGATTTTTTTTCTATTTCTCATGTTCCTACAATGAGCATTTTTTTAATGAGAAAAAAAATAGTCTGGTATTTGTTTGCTGACTGCTCAATCTGAGAGAAAGCAGAAAACATGTGTCTCAGAGGAGGAGGAATGGAAGGGGATTCAGAGTTGGGAAATGGTAGTGTGGAACCATCAGAAGAAAACAGAGTGGAGGGCAGTGGAAGCCAAATAAGGACTTTCTCTGCCTTGCAGAGTTTGAGAACAGCTGAGATTATGGCTTGGAAGAGAGAGATGGTTTGCTGGTCTCAAAGCTTGGGACAACAGCTGTTGGGATCAGAAGCCAAAGGTTGATCTGAGAAGGGATCATAGTGGGGAGGAGGAGCACCTAGCAGGCAAGGACTTCAGAATGAGAGTCCACTTTTGCCTAGACATTGTGACCTAGTGGTGGCTTGAACTTGAATCAGGTTTATTGAAGAACTCGACATTGGCCCTGTTCTGAACCTGGTGTGCCTGACCAGATGGGCTGAAGAGCAATGGGCAAGAAAGTAGGAAGGGGTTGGGGCAGAGAAGCAGTGGAGGGCTGAAACCACAGTTAGATTGTTCACTTTGGAGCTGAATCAGAAATGTTAGTCTCCACATCAGCAAGTTGACTCAGGAAGGGAGAGCTCCTAAGCCTTCTTCTCCATCTCCCCAAGAGCTTCCCCCATAGATCCCAGGCCACTAAGCTTCATGATGAGAAAGGACTTGAAGCAGAGGCAAGGTGCTCAACCCAGAGGGTATATGAGAGGCTTCTAGGTCCATCAGTGACTTTTGGTTCAGGGCCAGTGTGGGTAGAAGAAAACACAAATTGCCCAGTACTTCTCATTACCATATCTCAAACATCATCTCTTCCTAAAAGCCTTCCCTGATCCTCTTTCCTGATTATACTGACATTACCCAGTTTTTTTCTATAAAGTCCTATGATTTGTAACTAGATTTTTTGGGTGGGAAGGGTACTGGAGATTGAACCCAGGAGTGCTTAACAATGGAGCCCCATCCCCAGCCTTTTTTAAAATCTAGTTTCATTTTACTTTTTTTTAAATTTGAGACAAGGTCTTGCTAAGTTCCTTAGGACCTTGCTAAATTGCTGAGGCTGGTCTTGAACTCCTTCTCAGCCTCTGGAGTCATTGGGATTACAGGCATGTGCCCTGTGCCCAGTTTGTAACTAGATTTTTTTTTCTTTTTTTTTTTTTAGTGTGATTTGTTGTCAATTTTCTCTCTTCTGCTGGCCTGAACATTTATGAGTTCAAGGATAATGTCTTCTTGTTCACTCTTAGAGTCCAGTGTTAGCACAGGGCCTGAGTCAGAGTAAATGCTCAATTGATATTTGTTGAATGAATATGAGGAGGCTGGCTAGGCAAGTGGGGAGAAGGGAAATCACTGGGGTCAAGGGAAGGACAAGGGCAGGGCAAATCTTCTAGTTTGCCACCATTCAGGGGGCCCTCTGGGAAGTGCTTTGCATTCCTGGTGCTAGTGACAGGACTGTGCATGCCCAGGAATTGAAATCTGTGTTGCATGCCAAGGCCTCCTGTGTTCTTCTGGAAGTGAGGGCTTAGTTGGTGAGGAGAGGGGGAGAATGGAAGCACAGAAGCTCAGCATCTTAGCTTCTGGGAAAACATGGGCTGGGGAGGCAGCCCAAGCCCCAGCCTCATCTCCAGGGTTCTTTGGACAGATTCCTCATAGCTCCTGGCTTCTACTAGGGAGGTCTGGCCCAGAGCCCATCCCCACTCCCCACAGACCACAAGAAGGTCTTTCTGCTGAAGTCCCCACCCCCAACCCACAGGGGGTTCCTGTCTCAGCAGGAATTCAGACCTGATTGAAATGAGCAGCTGGAGCAGACTGGATGGGAGGGTGACTAGTGGGGAGCAGGGATCAAAAGCTCTTGTGTGTGAGGGGCAGGGAGAGGGGGTGCCGGAGTGTGCTGGCTTGCCCACAAGCATAAAGAAATGAGGCAGAGACAGAGGGACAGGAAGAAAGAGAGACAGAGAAAGATAAAGAAAATGTAGCAGAGAAAGCAACCCGGAAGCAGAGAGGAAGAAGAGAAGAGAAGTTGGGGGGGTGGGCACGGACACAGAACAGAGAATAAAGTGGAAATCACGAGGGACAGGAACAAGGAGAGTGCTGATAAAAGAGCACAAGGTCACAAGGTCACTAGGCAATTGTGGGAGATGGAGACACAGAAAAGAGGTCAAGGACAAGTTTAGGAAGGCAGAGACAGAAAGGAGAAATAGAGACTGAACTTAAGGAAGGAGTCACATTTATTCTTTCCTTCTGCATTTGTTGAACATCCCAACATGGCAGGCACACAGTGCGAGGTAAAAATCAATCGGTGCAAGCAGACACATATGATAGGGTCTGAGACATAGCAGTAAAGACAGAACCCGAGATAAAGACCAGGAAAGGGAAAGCTAAGATTGGAACCGAGTTAGAGACTGAGGGGAGGACACAGAAATAAGAGACAGTGACAGAGACACAGACTTAAGAGGAGGCAGACACAAAATTCTCCCAGGCAAAGAGGGCACAATGAGTGGAACCCAGGGTGCAGCTGGAAGAGAACCTGGATGAGGGAGACCTGCCCGGGCTCGCCCTAGGGTGGCTTTCCCTCCTCAGTCCCATCTCCAACTGTGCTGCCTCTACTTTCCCTCCCCCTGCCACCACTCTTTCTAGCAGGCTCTGGAGGAGGTTCTAAGTGCTGACAGCCTCCTCCTGCCCCTCCTCTTGACCCATGTTTCTCTGCCTAAACTCCAGATCAGGATGGAGCCCAGCTCAACTCAGAGAAGAGGAATGCAGGTGATAGACAGGCATAAAACACCTCCCTTCCATCCACAGGCCAGTTTAAAACCATCCTTTGGTCCCATGGATCCCTCAGGAGATTGGAACATATGCATGTGATGGGGAGAAGGGAGGAGTGGGTGTGCATTCAGCTTCCAAAATAGGGCAGGTGCCTCTCCCTTCCGGGTCTGTGTACCAGCCCCCAATACATCAAAACCTCGCTGCTGAGATCTCGGAAGGAGGAAAGACACCATTTGTAGCAATGCCAAGCCCTCCCCCATCTCCTCCCACGTCATCACTGAGAAAAATGCCGCAGAGAAGAGGGTGGGCTGGAGAATCAGTCACCTACCCGCTGGTGCCGGGTCTCTGGGCCTGAGAGAAACGCCAGTCCGTGTTGGGTGGGGCTTGCTGTGGAGAAAACAGAGGGAAAGAAGCTGAGTACCCATGAGCTGTCAGAATGTCACCAGAGCCTCTGGGGATGAGCTGGAAGAGGAGGGGAGTGGGTAAGAGAAGGAAATGGGGTAAGATGGGGGAGGGGTTGACACATTTCCAAAGACCACAAAAACACCCCAGGTCCCTCTCAGAGGTCTGAGGTACCAGAGATGAAATGACATTTTTATCTGTCACAGTGAGGAAGCTTTGATTTTTTTTTTTTTAAGCCTTCCTTTTTCCCTGTCTCCAGACTCAGGACTTTGGGGCCAAAATTCAAGGACTGAAAGTATCTTCTGTGGTACTGGAGGGAGCAGTGCAGAGAAGGCTCCTAAAAGGGGCAAAAGAGGCTTTTAGATTATAATCCCACCAGCCCTAGAATGAAGTTATCCAGCCCTTCAGCTGGGAACAAAGCATCCTCCGCAGCAAGATGGCTGCGGCTCTGGGTAACCCTTTTCGTGCCAAGTTGTGCAGCGACACATTTAGGGCGACACCTCGTCCAGGCCCTTGGCTCTCAAGGATCTCTTCCCACAGCTAAATACATTATTAATTTAGGAGTCATGCCAGACAGGGCCTTTGCTAGGGATCCAAGCCCTGGGACACCTCTCGCCCTCAGAACTCCATGCCAGACAATGGCCTGTGACTGAGAAGAGAACAAGGCTTCTCTGTCTGGAATAGAGAAAATGACTGGGATGGAGCCCAGAGAGATCAAGCTCCCACAGCTTCTAAGCAATGCCAACTAAATCTGCAGGGCTCCCAGGGGGTTGATCTGTAGCCATCTCCCACCTGGCTGAAGGTGTGGGTTCTTCTGTCAGCCACTTAACACCTAAGTCTCTCCCAGTCCTTCCAGGAGTATGTTATTCATTCCACCATTCATGGAGCACTCCTAGAGCCATGTCCTCACTGGTTCTGGGAGGACATTACCGTGCCCACTACTGTGCTCTCTGGGACAGGGTAATTAATTCTCACTCTGGTTCCCAGAAGCAGAGAGTGTGAGCATCTCAGATTACACTGGGGAGACCTAGAACTGCCAGTGATTCACACTCAAGTCTCATAGGCGACAGTGATGTGAGCAGAATCTAGAAATCTAATATCCTCAGTATATCAGGAGCCATGAGCACCATTCTGGGGCTTCCTTGAAGATGTCCAGCCCTTAGCCAATGTATTCTTAAGCACAGCAGAATCTACATGGAGTTGCAGGGATCATGATGGGAGGATAGGGAGCTGGATGAAATAGGAGGATGGCGGGTCCCATTTGTTCAGTGAGGACTACTGAGGATGAGGAAGCCCAAAGTCTTTCCTCCTCATGTAAGACACTAAAAGGAAAATAACACCCTTGCCCCATCCCAGTAGATGCCAACTGTCTTTTGTTCAGCATCATAAGTTTCAAGTGCCAAACCAATCAAAGCACACTCTGGAGTTAGACAGACCTGGGTTAGACTATCACTTGCTCTGAACTTGAGCAAGTCACATGACTTCCATGAAACTCAGTTACAAGATGAGGCTAGAAACTATCCAGCAACAGTGGAGAGAAGAGCAAATGAATATCCTAGTTCTCCAATAAGGCGGGTAGTTAGCTTCTCTCAATCAGCTATCAGAAGCATCTAAAGTGTTGTTTTCAAACTATAATCCTGATTCAGGGTGGTGATTAGATATATTTTGAATAAAAACCTTCTGGGATTATGAAAATTTGTGTTTTTCACTATTATAGTTTCCTCACATATGAGGGGTACCCCTGGCATCTGGTGGAAGCTACGGCTTTCCATCTGCCAGAGGAGAAAGGACTTGAATCTCAGATATTTTGGCCACCCCCAAGTCCCTGACCCTAGATGGCTGAGCACATCAGCACATCGTGGGCAGGAAGAGCCAAAAGCCTGTTTCTAAGCATCAAGAGCTGGGGTGCTCCAAGTTCCCACTCTCCTCAGGAGAAAGGGGCCCGACTGGTGTCACAGGGGTCCTGGGTTATATCTTATAAAGTTCTACTCCCTCTGCTCAAGGCTTCAGGGGCTGCCACTTTCAATATGGAGCCCTGGGTCCTGCAGGACCAGCTGGCCAGAGGGTCACAGAGTCATGCCCCCAACCCGCCTGCGCTCCACGAACTTCAGTAAAGCTCAGGTCACCCTGAGGTGACTGGCTCCCCCTCCCCGCCAGGTGCAACTGGGAAGATGCTCCCGAGTACTTGCCTGGTCCTGGGCAGCAGCGACCCGGGACTTTTACCAGAGACCACAGGCAAGGGGCTGTGGGTGGGCCACAGACAACTGGTGTGAACCTGGCAGAGAGCCGCGGGGGGTGAAAGCTGGTGCATGGGTGTTTGAGCTGGCGTAGGGAGGACACAGGTGAACCCTACTAGCGCACCTCAGTCCAGATGTGGTTGGGTGGAGCCAGGATAAGGAAGGTTGAAGATTACAGTGAAGCCATAGATCATGGGAACAGGTAGAAAACGGAAGAGGAAGCCTAAAAGACCCGGGCAGCGTGCGGGGAACTGAAGCTTAGGAGGCTGGTAGGGTGAATCTATCACAGCCTCCACCCGAGATCCCCCACACTTGTGGAAACTGCTAGAAATTCACCAGAAACTCGGCGGAGCCCCACCCTTTTCTAAGTGTGGTGGCAGGAGTTAGTGGTCCCACCTTCCCTCGTCCATAATCACCATCACCTCCCAATGCTTGGAGCCCCATCACGCAATGAGTCCAAAGGATCCCAAGAATCGGGTGGAGTACAACGAGCAGCTGAGCCAGCCCAAGAGGTGTGGATGCAAGTTCAGTCCCTTATGTGGACCGCAGGCTTCTCCAATGCCTCCCCCAGGAGTCGCCCCCGGGTGGCGCTGAGCCCTCACCTGGCTCCTCTCCCGCATCGTATTAGAGTGGGAACGAAAGGCATCAGGCTCCAGCGCCAGAGCTGAGGGTTGCTGAACGCTGAGCGGCCTGAGGAAAGTGAAGTCACTGCCATCAGAGGCTGGTGAAAAGCACGTCCTGTAGCAATGGCTCTGTGAGTCTGTGGGCCGCAGTGTCACCTCCATGTACTTAAGTGTGCCATCTGAGCTTACCTGCAGGTTGGGACTAGACTGCTTATAAAATTCCCGGGAGGGTGAGTCCTGATGCCTGCAGCACCCACCCCCACCACCATCCCCATTTGCCTGTCCCCGAAGGCACTTAACTGACATAAAGGTGAAGGTTACTAAGGATAAGAGACTGATGGTTGCTAGAGCTACAATGAGGTAAAGAGTAAGGTCTGAACGTTCAGGAGGGTGTGTGAGGAAATCACTGGATTTGGGCATTTCCTCAGGGTCTTCATCCTCCAGAACCAGTAGCACTGTGGCTGTAGAGGAAAGTGAAGGGTCACCATTGTCCCTCACGAGGACCACCACCTGTTGAGTATCAGGGTCATCCTCTAGTAAGGACCTAGCTGTGCGCACCTCACCAGTATGTGCAGACACCAGGAACAATCCTGGGGCTGTGGACTGTGGCAACAGGGAATAAGAAAGCCATGCATTGTGGCCTGCATCAGCATCCACAGCTGTCACCTTGGTGACCAAGGAGCCAGGAGGAGCAGAGCGAGGGAGACGCTGGGGGGCTGAGAATTCCCTGCCTGGCTTTGGGTGCAGCACAGCTGGGGCATTATCATTCTGGTCAAGGACAAACACATGTAGAGATGTGTTGGCATGCAGTGGGGGAGAGCCAGAGTCTCGAACCCCCACCACAATCTGCAGCATCTGCAGCAATTCATAGTCAAAAGTTCGCTGGGCAAAGACTCGTCCATCATCAGGGTTGACATACACAAAGGAGGAGGATGGGGCTCCCTGAATCTGACTCCCTACAATGGAGTAGGTGAGACGGGCATTATCTCCAGTGTCTGGATCTGAGGCAGCCACAGTGCAGAGAAGGGAGCCGGGAGGCTTATTTTCTGGGATGTAAGCAGTATAGAGCTGCTGGTTGAACTGGGGTGCGTTGTCATTAACATCTGAAATGTTGATCCTGATGGTGAGACGTGTGTGCAGAGGAGGTGAGCCAGCATCGCTAGCCAGTAGCTCAATGGTATAGTGTGATGTGGCCTCCCGGTCCAAGGGCTGGCTGGTTAGCAATGAGTAGTGGTTCTCAGAAGGCTTGATCTGAAATGGGAGGTCTGGAGAGATATCCAGACTTACTTCACCATTTCTTCCTGAGTCTCGGTCCCGCACATTAAACAACCCCACTACTGTGCCCACTGGTGTGCTCTCTGGGACAGGGTTGACCAAAGAGGCCAACAGAACCTCAGGGGCATTGTCATTGGTGTCCCCCACATCTACTTGAATGACACAGTGACCCTCCATGGCTGGCTGTCCCTGGTCACGGGCTCTTGCATGAATTTCATAGAAACTTGACTCCTCAAAGTCTACTGAACCCAATACATGGATTGCTCCACTACTAGGGTCCAGGCCAAAGAGATTCCGCACTGCCTCAGAAGTATGATCTCCAAAAGAATAGTCTAGTTGGCCATTGGTGCCCTCATCTGGATCAGTAGCATTGAGGCGGAGCAGCAGGGTCCCCTTGGGTGCATTCTCTGGAAGTCCCACACGTAGAACTGAGGACTGGAAGGTTGGAGCATTATCATTGATGTCCAGCACAATGATGGAGATGAGGCTGGTCCCTGAGTGAGCTGGGGTACCCCCATCCACAGCAGTGAGCACCAGCTGATGTCTTGCCTGAGTTTCACGATCTAGTTGCTGCTCTAGCACCAGCTCTGGGAAGAGCTTCCCATCTTTTAGGGTCTTCACATTCAGAGAAAAGTGGCTGCTGGGGCTTAGAGTGTAAAAGCTCACAGTATTGGTGCCTACATCCGGATCTTGGGCACTATCCAGTGGGAATCGTGCTCCAGGTGCAGCTGATTCTGAGATACGCATCTCTCGCTCAGAAGTGGCAAAGCTTGGAGAGTTGTCATTGAGATCCAGGATCTCTACCTCTACACGGATGAGCTCCAGCGGGTGTTCAGTCACCACCTGCACTGGCAACAGGCAGCTGGTGCTGGCTCCACACAGGTTCTCTCGGTCAATCTTTTGATTCACTGCTAGAGCACCACTCATCAAGCTCAGGGAAAAATAGCGTCCATTCTCCTCAGAGCCCAGCCGCAGTCGGCGGCTCAACAGATCTGTCACCTTTAAGCCCAGATCTTGAGCAACATTCCCTACCAGCGTCCCCGGCTCAGACTCTTCCACCACTGAGTAACGAAGCTGCCCAGACACCCAGCCCCAGCAGCACAAGGACAACATGCACAGCACTTGCCATTTCCCAGGGAGCTGTGGGGGTGTCTTGGGCCCCATGACCCAGAAGTCCCTTCCTGAAGAACAACTCTGTGCTGTCCTGTCTCCAAGGTAGACCAAGGGCTTGGAATGCAGCAGAAGAAATCTCTTATGTCTCCTTCCAGCCTCTTAAAAACTGCTCTGAGGTTTGCCTGCCTGCAGCAGTTCTTAGTCACCAAATGGCGGGGGTGGGTGGGGGGGAAGGGGAGTTAAATGTAAGTGGAGCTGGGGAGCTGGAGGAGGAGAGGCGGGCAGGAAGAGCAGATCCCCCACCTTGTCTCTGAGTTTGATTGGTCAAAAAGTCTGTCTGCTCTCAACCAATTATGCAGTCTCCTCAGTTCTGGAAACCTTGGGAACGGGCAATGCAAATCTGTGTCACAGAAGCCTCCTACCTCCCTACTCATTTTCGTGCTGCAGGTTGATTCAGCCCCCTTGGCAGCAAAGTTTGACAGCTCAGATGGTGCTCAACAGGGAAGACAAAGTGGTACAAAACTCCTAGTGTTCTATCCCAGCAACTTCCTTCATGACTTCAAAAGCTTCCACACTACTTCACTGGAACCAACAAAATTCACTTTCTGGGAAAGGCAAACAACATTTGTTCCCCCACCCCTCTCCCATCTCTCTCCCACTCCCCTTCTCCCATCCTACTGAATGCTGCTAGGGGCAAGAGAAAAAATTTGCTAAGACACTGTAAAGTCTTATCTTGACTCTTTAGCAATGCTTTGAGGAAAATCTCCATGTCAGTTGATGGCTACAGAACTCAGTTTATCTGAGATCCCAGTCTCAGAATGTAGAAAGATTGTCACCGTTTGTGGGTAAAGGATTATTTCTGGGACTGATCTAAGTTACTAAGAGTTGACAGAGGACAAGCATAACCTCTTTCTAGGCTTTATGGTTTCACGGAATTCAGGAGAACTCTAAAGGCTTCCAGAGTTGCTGTCTCTGAGTTCCTCAACTGTAAACCAGTTTTCTGACATTGTCATTTCACTTACCGCTTTTTTCCCCCCAAAGACACAATGAATATCTCTCTGTTTCTAATATACTGCATTGTACCTAGTTCAAATCCCATTAGGGACTGGGAATCCTAAACATCTGGATCAAAAGATCTTTTCTGGGGAGAGCACTGGGGATTGAAACCAGGGATGCTTTATCACTGAGCTACATCTCCAACCCTTTTTGAGAAAGGATTTCACTAAGTCTGGCCTCAAACTTGAGATCCTCCTGCCTTAGCCTCCCACCTTGCTGGAATTGTTGGAATTACAGGAATATGCCACCACATTTGGCCCAAAAGATCTTTGATGTGCACCTCTCTGCTCCCTTGGATCTCTCTTCTTTTTTTTGCTCTCTGCTATGCTTCAGAGAGTACCCTTCACAGTGGGTTAAGGATCCTAGAGACTATGGGCAAAGATTTTAGTCACCCTCTCAGTCCATTGGAAAATGGTAACCTAGAGTTAAGTTTCTCCAGAACCTGGCCCCCCCTGATTTAGGAAGAGTAGAGAAAGCAGCCCTGGGTTCAGGTAATTGCCTAGTGCATCCCACCCTTGTGCACCATAGCCATCTATGCTCCTAAGTTCTGTCAGCATGCTTCACAATAGCATAGTTCTTGATCACCAATTACTTTCACTCCTTACTTTTAGATATAGACAAAATCTATCCCCAGTGTTAACCTGTGTCAACCACCTGGTTAATTCACAAAACACTTTAAAAAAAAAAAAAGCTCAGAATCTACCACATAGTTACTACTCACAAAAATGGTGAAATCACTCTGGGCTCTTACAGGGAGGCCAGTACTCTCTGGAACATGGCCCAATCATAAGCCTGAATCAGAACAACCCTCAAGCATTGGCTGAGCCTGAAAAGGTCTCACCTCTAGCCCATAGAGAAGATCAGAGGGTGGACAGCTTGGGCGAACAGGCTCTCCTGCCATAGGTGCACTGGGTGACTTCACCATCATGAAGCTATCACTCCGAGTGGGTGCAGAAGCCAAGGGTGTACAGCCATGAGAGTGGCCTCCCACATCAACAAACTTGATAGGATCATCTGACCCTAGCTGGATTCGGAGGATCCCATTGGAAGGAGGAAGCCCCTCCCTCCTTCGAGATCTGGTGAGACATGCACAGGTGCCAGCAGGAAAGCATGTTACTCCACAAGCAGCCCCACGCAGACATTTAGAGAGTAGTGCCACGAATGAACCAAAGGAGACAAAGCAAATTGCCACTAGGGATACAGCCAAGTATAAAGTCAGACGGGATTCTCCTTCCCTTGGAGCTGAAGATTCTCGAAGATCAGGAACAATTGGATGAGTGTCTTCCTCTAAGGACACGAGGAGAGTAACAGAGGTAGAAAGTGGTGGGCTACCACTGTCCTTCACCACAATGACAAGCTTCTGTGGTGGGAGATCAGCGGGGATGGGAACAGCTGTCCTGACCTCCCCAGCATATCGAGAGACTGCAAACAGGCTGGGATCTGGGGCCTCTAGGAGCTGATAGGAAACCCAAGCATTGTAACCTGAATCCAAGTCCACGGCAGTCACCTTGGTGACTAGGTGGCCAGCACCAACTGATGGAGGCAGTGCTTGAGGACATAAGGAACCAGGCCTGGCCCTTGGGCGGAGAACAGCTGGGGCATTGTCATTGAGGTCCAGAACAAATAGACGGACTGTCACAGTGCTGCTAAGAGGTGGGTTGCCCCTGTCCCGGGCCTGCACCTCAAACTGCAGTGTCTGTGTTTGCTCATAGTCAAATGATCGAGTAGCATGAACAGCTCCTGTTTGGGGGTTCAGAGAGATGAAGGAGGAAGCTGACACATCTCGATTTCTGGGCTCTAAGAGAGAGTAAGAGATAAGTGCATTCAAACCAGAGTCTGGGTCCGAGGCTGCAAGAGAGCAAAGCAGGTCCCCTGGGCGATTATTCTCAGGAACAAACACCTCATGTGATCTTTGGAAGAAGGAGGGTGGGTTATCATTCACATCAGAAATATTAAGGAAAATAGTCCTGTGGGTACTCAGAGGAGGGTTCCCAGCATCAGAAGCAGTGACCATGATGTCATAACTGGATTTAGCCTCTCGGTCCAAGGACCCAGCAGTCACAAGGGAGAACTGGTTCCTGAAGGCAGACTTGAGGGCAAATGGCAAGTGGTCAGGGATTCGAAGGCTCACATCTCCATTTGAACCCGAGTCGGGGTCCTGCACACTGATGAGTGCCACTACAGTGCCAGGTTCTGCACTTTCTGGGAGAGTTCCCAGCTCTGAAGTCACTGTGATGTGGGGGGCATTGTCATTTACATCCAGGAGATCCACCCGAAGGCTGCAATGTTGTTCCATGGCTGGAGAACCCCCATCACGAGCCCGCACATCAAATTCATAGTAATTCTCACTCTCGAAGTCTAGGGGCCCCTGAAGGGTAAGCTTTCCAGTGGTGGGATGCAGGTCAAAGAGGTTTCTCACACGATCAGGGGTGTGGCCACTGAAAGAAAATGTGACGTTACCACTAGGACCCAGGTCCGGGTCAGAGGCATTGAGCTGGATGAGCACCATGCCGGCTGGCGCGCTCTCCAAGACACTAATTCTGTAGCTGGATTGCTGGAAGGCTGGGGCGTTGTCATTTACGTCCAGCACAGAGACCCGGAGCTCCGCGGTGCCAGATCTTGGGGGGTTCCCTCCGTCTACAGCAGTCAGCACCAGGCGGTAGTCCGATTGCTTCTCCCGATCCAAAGGCTTCTCCAGGAGCAGCTCCGGGACGAGGCTGCCGTCGCTGCGTTTCTTGACATCAAGTGCAAAGTGTTCATTGGAGCTCAGTCTATAGCTGCTAATGGAATTGCTCCCCACATCTGCATCCTGAGCCTTTTCCAAAGGGAAACGTTGTCCTGGAGGAGCTGCCTCCCCGATTTCCAAGTCCAGCTGCTGCCGCGGAAATCGGGGGGCGTGATCATTCACATCTACGATCTCTACCTCTGCTCGGTACATTTCCAAAGGCCCTTCGGTTACAAACTCCAGGGGCACGATACAACTGGCACTGAGCCCACACAGTGCCTCTCGATCTATTGGATTCTTGATTAGCAGGGCTCCGCTGTCCAAATCCACACGGAAGTGTCTTTGGTTCACCTCTCCAGCGACCTGCAGCCTGCGAGCTGACAGACTCTCTGTATCCAGCAGGAAATCTTGGGCGACATTCCCTACAAAAGTCCCTTCCTGTGACTCCTCTGGGACCGGGTAGCGGATCTGCCCACAAACGTAACCCAGGTGGCAAAAGAGGAACAAAAGGGTAGCCCCCCACCCGAGTTCTACCCAGCTTCTCACCTTGCAGAGCATTGCTGCCACCCGCTAATTCTCTACTTGGTCCTGGGAAGCAGAAGAAGCCGACCCGCCCCAAACATCCACAGCAGCTGGAGACACCTATCTCCCTTTCCCCCGCGCCAGTTCTGGCGCGGCTTGGCCGGCACTGCAAGGGTTACGCGCCGTTTTTGCTGGTGGCGGGGTAGATTTGTCTGCCTTTCAACACCGGATTGGCAGACAGCGGCTCCTGGGCTCAGCCAATAGGCTGAGCAGAGAACATCCTAATAGCAGCAGGGTTAATGCGTCGCAGCATTGGAAGGAAAAAAAAAAAAAAAAAACAGAAAAAAAAAAAAAAAAACAACCAAACCCCACAAAATAATAAAATAACCCCCAACTTATCTTTTCACCTTCCTCCTGCTCAAAGGTATTTCTATCATGGATCATTACCTCTTTGGAGAAGCAAACAACATATACGTATTCCCCCTCCCCAACAACCTACTCACCCCGCCCCTTTTCGGCGGGGAAAACAGCGACAGCCTGAGCCCTAGCAACCTGCAGCCCACTGAGCAAGTAGCCATTTGAGATTGGTCACTTTATTCAAGCCAGTGTTGTCATCAACCAATATCCTAAATGAGTAGCTTCTGTCCCAATCTGATTGTGTTAGAACAACAGCTAATTAAAAGCACTGCCATATACTCAAAACTCTGCCCCTCTGCAGATTATTCAGAACCATATCCATCCCTTTGCAAAAAAGGCTTACACATTAATGTGGCCAATTAAATTTATGCAGCACACGTTTTGATTGTAACAGGAGGTGCGGCAGAAAACAAACCACTCTTATTCAGACATTTGCTAGTAATACACTAAATTACCATTCATTGATTTCAAGGACAGTATGGGAACA